GCTTGAACCCAGGAGGCGGAGGTTGCGGTGAGCCGAGATCGCGCCATTGCACTCCAGCCTGGGTAACAAGAGCGAAACTCCATCTCAAAAAAATAAATAAAATAAATAAAATAAAATTAGCCAGGCATGATGGCCCATGCCTATAATCCCAGCTACTTGAGAGGCTGAGGCACAAGAATCACTTGAACCTGGGAGGCAGAGGGAGGTGGAGGTTGCAGTGAGCCGAGATCGTGCCACTGCACTCCAACCTGGGGGACAAAGCAAGACTCTCAAAAACAAAACAAAAACGGAAAGTTTTCCTGTTCATAGTTACCTGGGCAGTTTCCTGGTTAGGGCTTTAATGCGTAAGGCTTCTGTGACCATTCCTGTGCAAGTCTTTTTATAGGCATATGTTTTTATTTCTTTTGGATGAATATCTAAAGGCAGAGTAGCTGGGTCATACGGCCTGCGTATGTTTAACTTTATAAGAACCTACCAAACCATTTTCCCACACAGCATTTTACACTGCCGTCAGCAGTTTGTGAGAGTTCCCGTATAACATAAACAGGCGTTCTGTACATTAAGAGATTTCAAATGATTTTTTTTACTGACTCTCCAGACATTGGCATAGTATTCAGCCTTAAAAAGAACTGAATTTCTGTCCCCTACTATAACATGGTGCACCTTGAAAACATTATGCTAAAGTGAAAAAAGCTAGACACAGAGGACCCCGTAGGGTATGATTCCATTAATATGAAATGGCCTGGTCACACAGCTTCATAAATATACTGTAAGCCATGGACTTGTGCACTTAAACAGGTAGCTTTCTGGTGTAAAAATTATATCTCAGTAAAGCAGTTTGAAAAATGAAGACTCGAACTCTAGAAGGCAACGGTCTGAAAACAATAGGTTTCCTCCAGAAAGTTCCCTTGGGGTAAAGCTAGTTCTTGTCTGAGAGCAGATGACCTTCTCTTGTCTTTTCAAATCTTAGACTTTTTTCAGTCTTGTCCTTGTCCCACCCTAGACGCTGAGAGGAGCATCAGAGCTGCTCATTCGCCAGTGAACCCAAGTCCAACATGTGCTGCCCTGGTGCGGGGCGTGGGGGGCATCCTCAGCCGCCTGTTGAGTGCAGGAGGTTGCCTGGAAAAAGGAAGGGAACTGAAATCGCCACACTGGGGATGTTGGTCCTCCTCCACACCTGCACCCCGGCATTTCCTAGTGCAGCCATTGATCCTCTTCTGTTTTCTCTGTGGGTGCGCCTGGCCTGGACTCCA